ATACATATATATATACATATATATATATGTATAGATAGATAGATATAGATATATACATATAAACACACATAAATGCTTTTCAAAACAAAATTAGAATTACATTATACACATTTTATTCCCTATTTTACTCATGTAATGTCATATGACATTTCTTATGAAGAATATACAAGAAAACTCCACAAAAATGATTTCTAACATATATCAGTATTGCCTTTACACAATGAATCCCCTTGTTGTGGTTTCAGTTTTTATTTTAATTTTTTTGCAACGGTAAGAAATTTTCTGATGAGTATCCTTACATATGAAATATTTCTGGACATCTGATTATATTCTTGAAGTAACTTTCTATAAATAAAATGTACAAAGTAATATACAGTGAAGTTTTTGATACATATCACAATCATCCCCCCCAGAAAGTTGTAACAGGGGTATATACGTTTTCATATGCTGTCTATTTAACTATAGGAAAAAAAACCACTTAGCAGCTATAATATGGAAGTTAGATTCTCATCATTAAGCCCCAGAGTTTGTTAAAGCAAAAATCAGCAAGAATATATTAAAGGAATAAGTCATTAATGAACTCTTTTGGCTTTTTTCTCCCAGTACTAGGTATTGAACTCAGGGCCTTCACACTGACCTATATCCCAACCCTTGGTTTATTTGTTTATTCATTTTTGAAATACAGTCTTTCTAAATCACTAAGTTGCCTGGGCTGTGTTCAAACTTGTGATCCTCCCACCCCAGTCCAGAGTGTTACAGTAGTATTGCAGGTGTGCGCCATCATGCCCAGCTCCTGCTGGCCAATTTTGATGGCATCTGTGCAGGTCTCTTGAATGGTACTGATTCTGCTGGGCTTCTCTGTCTTCTTGAAATCTTCTTTGGCCTCTGTGTCATTGAACTTTCCTGATCCTCTTTCCTCAGGTGGCCGAGCTCTCTGCTGACCACTCCTTCCTCTTCTCATGCCAGAACTCTTGACCTCACTCAGGTCCACGGTTAGCTGTCCATGCTGGTATCCCTGAGAAGCTTGTTATCTCATTGGTTCAGCCACCATCTTGAGAAGCCTCAACACTGCATGTTCAACTGAAGACTTCCCCTGCTTACCAACTGAACAACTCATTCTGATACCTCTGTAATGCCACTGTGTTCAATTCTAACTCTCCTCAGCTTCCCCACTTCCCCCATTTCTTTTGAACACTGTTTTGGTTGACACTACCATCAATGCGTGGTTTTCCCCAAGTGCTCAAACTGTCCATTTGTTTTTATTCTCTTATGCAGTTCATCAAAGTTTCCATGAAACGTCCCTCAGTATTTTCCTGCCCCACTGTCACATCACTGTGGTGGCTATTACGTTGACCATTCCAAGACTAAACACTTTCCCTAGGTGGTGAACCTAGGCTGAGCCTACTACCAATTGTACTTCTTTCTGATGAACTGAGGGTAGTCCTCTCAAAGGCTCTGCATCCCAGCTTTATGCATGTTCTAGTCTTCTTAGTTTCCCTGATGCTTCTACTGTTAGGAAACTGTCCCTCCCCTTCTCCCTACCACCAATCCTGCAACTGATCCAGAGCCTTCCCATCTTACCTGGGTGGGTAAATCTACTCCCTCTGGAGTACCACACTAGTCAAAAATCATCCATATATGTTGAGCCATGTAATCATTATTTCCTTTTTACATGTTTTAAGAGTATATTTCTAAAATAGCTTATTGGATCCTCACACAATATACTAATAGGCAATAAATGTTTGCTGAGTTTTAAATAAGATCCCAATTTCCCTTAAATGCAAAGTTAGTGAAAAAAATTTTTAAACCAAATACTATAAGAACTATTTCAGTTCTTTCCCAGTAGAGGTAGGCTTAGCTTAGGGGTTAAAAAAAAAGACCTTGCTTACTATGATTCTGTCATCTTCCATCTCACTGTCCTGCACATGCATGCATGTGGACACACACATGAGCATGCACACACACACACATGAGTATGCACACACACACACATACACACACATCAATCTGTTCTCTATGACAAGGGAAACTGATTGATGAAGGAATCCAATTTCTGCCTCCCTACGTTGGCTAGAGACCAGTCTAAGCCTGTTCCCCTTATGCTTTCACATCTGCTAAAAATGTATAATCATAGGTTAATAAAGCCCAATCACCATGTCTTCACCCCATAATCCCATCACATTCTTCAGCCCTGCTGCTGACAACTGCTACATCTTGTATTTCTCAAGCTTATTTCTAGCAGATAGCCACAACTCCTTTTCACTAAACTTTTCCCCTCACAGCCCCCACGCTCTTAGGCTTACAACCCTATAAAAGACCTCAAAGCTTGTATGAGAGTCACTAGTCTAGTCTAAGAGCTAGGACGGTCTCTCTCAAGCTTGTCCTAAATAAACCTGTCCTGACAGTTGAGCTTGTGATTTTGTTCCTCTTTTTTCCTAACAAGCAATAAGAGAAAAGTTCTTGTGCTTTGGTCAAGGAAGGCTGCTCCAAATATCTTCATTATAATCTAGGTTGAAGCCTTAGTTATAACTCTGATAATTTGAATTGTCCCAGATTGAAAAACACAAAATATTAAAAATAAGACATTTGTTAATAGGTGACCCAGAGCACCACAGAGTGATATGTAACACTTACCTTTCTCAGAAAGAATTTCAGGGGCTACATAAGTTGGAGTCCCACATACAGTAAATATAGGTCTCACCACATGTTTTGCAAGGCCAAAATCAGCCAGTTTCAAAGTGGTAGATTTGTCCTCATTCCGCTGAACCTGTAAGAAATCAAAATTTCCAAACCATTAAAACTGTGAAGAGAACAAAAAAGGAACACTAATAAGACAACAAGCATGCAAAGTCAAGATAAGCAAACAATAAATTTACCAGCTTACAGTTTAGCCCAATGCTGACAAATCCAACTTGACCTCAGTTACAGTTGCTCACATTGTCAGCAAAAGAACCAAAGTTAGGTTTACTGTACCATCCATATTGTCACAGGTGGTCATTTAAGTTTGTTAATTAAAATCAGCTTCTCCACTGAGCTAAGAATGTGTCAAGTGCGCAAAGCCTCCTATGACGTGTGGCTACCATACTGGACAGTGCAGAGAGGGAATATTTCCATCTTTGCACACAGGGAGAAGACTCTCCAATCCCTAGCTAACAGTATAACACCACGCTATCATGGGCCACTGCTTAGCTGTCTGGAGGGCTCTCACTGGTTGCTGAGGCTGCATGCTAGACGACAGCATAACCTGCTCCTCCACCTCTCTAGCTTGACAATGCTTACTGAGGCCAGCAAAGTGTCCGACAAGGATGGGATGGGAATGGAATTACATTCCTTTTTCCATGGACTCTTCTCTCCTTGATCCTGCTTTGGGCTGTTTTAATTTGAGCTAAATAAAACCAGCAACTTAGCAAATGGAGGGAGGTCTTCTGCAGCGCAGGCCATAGGTCTTCCACTTCTCTGTAAGTAATACCTAAGCAACTCATTTACTCACGAAGCTGGATTTGTCCAAGCCTTTTGGGGGAAAATCGGCACCCTTTCAGTTCAGAGGCAGATGTTTCTTTCACATCTCTCAGAGAAACTTACAGAACATTGAAAAATATTCTATTGGACAGCACTGAGTCAGAACAAGGACCAATGACACTCGGAGCATCAACTGGCTTGGCTGAGAACTAGAAATGCCTCTGGATAATGTAAAGGCTGGCCATAGCTGGGAAAGAGGGAAAAAGAACTAGGAATGAGAATGAAGTAAGCAAATAAGCACGAGAGGTACATCAAACACAGGCCCTAAGGGCCAGGGGAGTAAAGAACCAAACAGGCTCTGAGTCCTTGAGTAATTTCAACTCCAAGACTGGCAACTGGTTTTACATATTTACATATTATACAACTGATGGTTTTACACATTTTTTTTACCCAGCTGAGTCTCTGTTTCATTGCTTATTTAAAAAGCGGATGAAGGGGTGTGATAACTTCCTCCAAATAAGCCTGTGTCAGGAGTTCCATTTTAATATCTGTAATCTACCTCGAAAAGTGTTAGCCAGTGACCAATAGTCTCAGTTTGCCTAGGAAGATGAAGGGGTGTGATAACTTCCTCCAAATAAGCCTGTGTCAGGAGTTCCATTTAATATCTGTAATCTACCTCGAAAAGTGTTAGCCAGTGACCAATAGTCTCAGTTTGCCTAGGACTTGCACCAGGCATGGGGGAAGGGTAGAATTAGTCATTTTTCACAGTAGAGACTACCTTCATTTTGAAAAGCTACAGTCTTAATGCAGCCTCCCCACCTTGATGCCATCAAACTTATCCCACCTGAGTCTCATTCCCTCGAACAAGTCCAGGTGATTGCCTCTCAGATCTCTGCTAAACCAGTTCCCACTGCCAAATGAATGGCAGGCCCCATTCAGCCTCAAGGAATTTGCATATAAGATGATGATTGTTGGGCAATGTTAGGTCTTAAACTGAAGGAAACATATCTCAGAATATATCTCAGGTAAGTATAAAAAGTTTTTAGGTCCCTGTGCAAGGAACAATAGAACTAAAAGTATGTTATATTTTCCACAAGAAAGAAAGGAAAGAAGGAAGGAGCGGGCAGACAAACACAGCACATCTTACTGCAAGTTCAGGATGCACCGGTACCACTACACCATTGGAAGTAGTTTCTGTTCGGAGGAAAAGTTAACTAAGGCACAAATCAAATCTCTGACCTCCTTCAATACTAGTTAGTACCTACTCAAGTAAGATCAAGCAATGATTGCCCCATATCTCATTTTAGCAGCTGATTATTTGGACCAAAGGTGAACTAAATAGTTAATTAGACTGCTATATGAGAACTTACTGGAATAAAGGTGGGCAATTTTATCCAAGTAAGAGATTCATTGGTGCCACCAGAGCTGTAACAAAAATGATCAACTTGTCTGTAGGCACATGCCCTCCCATATCTCCTGAAACTGAGCCAAATATTTCCAGCACTGCCACCAGCACTTGGGGGTGGGAAGGCAATGGGGGAACTCTGGTCCTCCCTGTGTCCCATGAGCCATAGGCCACATCCAGCAATACAGGGTCAAAGAACATCTCTCAGTCTCTCTTAACTACAGCAACTCCTCTGCATTTACTTTAGTTCCTGCTAGCAAGCTGGCACCTGTATAAGTAGCCTGTGTCTTAATTACCAAGGCTCATTCACCACTGGGCAAACTAGTCCATGTGTCTAGTACTAACCTAACCAGATGGAAAGTCATGGACTTAGAAATAACATACAAGTCTGCTTGAACTGCACACAGAGACAGACATGGCCCACAAGGGACAACAGAATAATTTAGGATAGAAAAATCTAGCTTGCAAGGGAAGGAAAACAAAATAATGTGGTACCTACAATTACCAGATGGATCATCTCCACCACATTTGCTGGGCAATTGCTGAAAAAAAAATATGTCCCTCAAAAACATTTGTAAATATTCCCACCCAAATCATCAGTATTAAGAGCATTTGGCCAATTGAATACAACAAAGTAAGATGTGTATCCCTATAACAAAATAACTAAAATATTCCCTTGCTTGAGGAAACTTTCAATTCCAAAACCTGGTTATACTGAGCTAGGAGCAGCAGATGAAATGTTTTGGAAACTTGGGCTTTTCCTTTGAAAACTAATAATGTTAAATTCCCAGACAGTGATGGATACATTTTCAAAATGTCAACTGTTTTTAAATTATGTTATGGGCCTTTCTAACATTTATGTTGCCTCCTCTTGTTCAGCTTTTCTCTTGGAGCCTTCGGATCCGGAGCTTCAGTCACCACTTGAGCAGGGCCCCAGGGGGTCAAGATCAGCGGTGGGTTTGTCCCTTCCCAGAAGTGATCTTAATCCTTCTGCCTCCAGCTTCTCTTGGCAGGAAACATTTAACATTCTTTAGTGCTGCCATTTATTTCACATACACATGCAGCTTCATTACATTTAAGGTCTCACGCTGGCTGTGTGAGTTTGGTTTGCTTTTGTCTTGCAACACACACCTCACATTCTTGGCTTCGGAACACTTCCGGTTTTAATCCTTGAGATTAAATTTAGAGTAATTTCCTCCTAAACAATTATTTCTCCTAGATTCTGTGGGGCTTCAGTGACAGTCAAGTTCAAACTTTTACCCAAACAGGAAATTTGTCTAAAATGTCCCTCCACAGACTGTCACTGAACTCTGAATGAAATCTCAAAATGGAAGCCTCCACAACTTTAGGCAGCTCTTCCCAATCACAGCTAGCTTAACCTGTGAGACTTATCCCATGTTACTTCAGAATCCCATGCTACGTTTGTTTTCTAAATCTTCCTTGTGGGTTGACACTGAATAAGGCAACATCCCTTCCAAAGATGGAAAACAAGTACCGTGTTGCCCCAGCTTGCCCTCTGACTTCCCTGAGGTGGCATCCCTGGAGCCCCAGCTAATCCTTTAGGACCTGATTTCCTAGCCTGTCAACCCTGTCTTTCCTCCCTACTCCAAGCATGACCCTAAGACAAAGACCATCATTTGGGAGCTGTTAGAGATCTCAGCTACCGTAAGCCCAATGATCCAAATTCAGCCTTTCTGTAAGATGTTCACAATGTGCATAGTAAAGGTCTAGATAAATAATCTCACGCCATCGATGCATGCTTTGATCCAAATGCCCAGAACTGAACATCAAACATCAGGTGTGATTTGATCAAGGTGGTAGGTCTCGGGACTCCCAACTGGCATGGCATTGGGTGGCCATCAAGGCAAGCAAAAGACTTCACTAACTATCACACTTCAATGACCTTTCCTCAGAAAGCCTTCCCAGGCTTTCCTAGATTTGGTGGAGGTTCTTCCTGGAAACCCCTAACCTTGCCCTCACCCTACTTTATGTTTTATCTGGACTCACCCTTGTGAGTGCTCTGGTTACAGTATTTCTAACTAAAAGGGCACCAGAGATTGCTTTACTCAGCATGGTAATGAGGGTTGTTTTTCTGCCTCTCTCTCCCCCTTTCCAGGCACTCTAAAATGTCCTACTTTGAATCCATATGATTTTTACAATTTACATAAGCATCTAGATAGCCATCTGGATGCACTCAAATTCTCAAGAGGAATTTTACTAAATAATTTAGGCTCCACTCTGTCCTCCAACAATTTAATGTGTATCAATTTAAATGTGAGTTTAAAACAGTTTCTTCTGTGAACAGATGATGGCAGCAGAGTATAATCAAAGAGCAAGTGCTACCTTAAAAAAAACGAAAACAAAAATGTTTATTTACTTTTCTTCTTACTGGGTCCTTCGCAGTTCTTTGCACCTTTTCCTTTTAAAGTCCATTATCAACAGTCCATAAGGATTGAGATGATCTTAGAAACCAAATCACTTTAAAATGACAGTGCCTTAAATCAATTTAAATTTAAATTGTAAAAAATGTAATTTTTTAAATGACTGAAAAAAATCAATGAGGAAACGATGTTCCCTGGGACCTGTCACTGGACTTGCCTGTGACATGCCTTCGGTGTCTATATCTCACACCAGCTTTTTTCTACTGACTTAATAACCTAGATTGATTCAACAAATATTAGATATTTATTGGACACTTATTGAGTGTATGGGAAGTACAGCAATGTATGAAGCAAAGTTCTTGCTGTTATGAAGCCTTTTTAAAATTTATAAACAATATTCAAATGCATAAGTTAATGCTGCCAGTGGTAAGTGCAAAGAAAAAAATAAAAATGAGATAAAGGCTATGTTGTCTAGCATGGGTCCTCATACGGCTACGGGGCATTGGATTTCAGCAATAACAT